ATGGGTTGCTCACGTAGCTAGGCCCTGTTGGTCTCTGCACGTGACTCTTAGGGCTTGGCTGCACTACTCACGGAATGTGCAAAATTAGAATGAATCTTCTGCAGAACGTGGAATAATACGCCACCATATGTTTTGTCTTTTGTGCATTTGGTGAGAAGAGGCCCTTAGGGCCACTGCACGTATTCCTAAGAAAACAAAAACGAGAAAAGAAAAGAAAAGCGAGAAAAGAAAAGAAAAGCGAGAAAACAGAGAAATAGTGACCCATAACCGAGATGCACAGACCTGAATTCGAATCCAGACCATATGTATACTCTGCCCACCCTCACGGAGTACAAGTTTGAAGTGCATCTCTGCATGACGTCGGGTCCTAGCTAATATGCTGTAGGGATCCTTCTGAAAAGAGGCTGGAGCCGCTGGACACAACTAGGACATTTTTAGTTTTCTACTTTTTTAATGCACCGCATCACTTCTGCGTGCGCGTGCGGCACCCCCGTGGATGAGATGCGGCGCAAGTATGATTCGAACACGTCTCTCTCTCTCTCTCTCTCTCTCTCTCTCTCTCTCTCTCTCTCTCTCTCTCTCTCTCTCTCTCTCTCTCTCTCTCGCACGCGCGCGCGCGCATGCGCGTGCGGCACCCCCACGCATGAGATGCACCGCAAGTATGATTTGAACACCTCTCTCTCTCTCTCTCTCTCTCTCTCTCTCTCTCTCTCTCTCCCACACACACACACACACACGCACACACACACAGGGGGTCCGAAATTCCCCGACAGGTGAGTGCGCTGGGGGGGGCCGGCCCCCAACCGGGTGCCCTGCCTGGCCAGGCCGCCAGGGACCTCCCCCGGGCCCCTGCCGGTCACCCGGGCGGCCCGGATCCCAACTCAGAAATTAATAGCATTTCCTCAGTTGTTTGCATTCTTCTTCTTCTTCTTCTTCCTGTTCTTCTTCTCTTTCCTTTTCTTCTCCCTTTTCCAAGTTTTGTGTACCTTCTCCCTCCACTCTCTCTCTCCTTGTTCATAATCTGAGTCAATAGACTCAATACTCAGTGGCGAGCCGTGTGTTGGCATGAAGTTTGCACACAACTCTCTTCATTGAAAACTTGGAAGTTGGATCTCCATAGCGATTTGGTGTTGGAGCACGTTTTGTTACTGATTGCCTTGAAGCTTGTCATCGGTGAAATGCTGTGTGAAGACTCTGAAGCTTTCCCAAACATATTTGATCATATAGAAGCATGGTGTACAGGGTGGACCCTTTGTTTGAATTTAGGTTATTTTCCCAGGGATTCAGGGAATGAATTTGCACTGCTTCCCCAAACACTTTGAATGTTGAATTTCTGAGTTTTTTAAACACATCTTGAATTTGGTTCAAACTTCAAAGTGGGTCCCAAACATCTTGAATTCGATACAGGGTGGGTCCCAAACCTCTTGAATTTGGTACAGGGTCTTGAATTTGATACAGGTGGGTCCCGAGCATCTTGAATGTGTTACAGGGTGGGTCCCAAGTATCTTGAATCTTGTACAGGATCTGTCCCTGACATCTCGGGTTTGGTAGGCGTAGTGTAGCATGCTGAGGCCGCTACACGGGCCCTGTTTTGGGGCCCGATGGTTGTTGCAGGCCCCCAGGCCTCGCACCCATTTTTGGTGAGCGACCTGGAGGCCCATGGGCATATTCCAGGCCAGGCCCCCAGCATTTATTATTTTTGCTGCGTGATTCAGTTTCGGCCGTTGTAGGTCAGGTTCAGATTTGTCTGTATATGGGACTGGACCAGGCATTTGTCTGCTTGTGCCTGGCCCAGTCCTCGAGACCTTGTTGCACTAGCAGGATTGCCAGGACGTCCGGTAGGGACCCAGGCGGACCGTTTTTTGGCCAGGATCGTAGGACCAGGACTGGGGCCTGCGATGAGGACCATCGATTGGACATCAGATCCGACAGTCTTGAGGGCCAGCGGGATATCGCTGGGCCAGTCCTCCACTTTGAGGACATTCGGGCAGAGCCTCGTTTGGGCGTCACGCTGCTGGAGCAGCGCCAGTTTGGGGAGAGCTGCTATAGAGCAGCATTGGAGGATTAGAGGAGTAGGCTGGAGTGGACAGGTTTGGCGGAGGCCGTGTCCACAAGGGAGAGAGAAACTTACCTGGGCGCCATAGCTGGGACTTCATACCAGTCATGGGACCGGCCTTCAGCAGCGACCTGCATCAGGAGTCATCACCTTCGCTGGTCAGTATTCATGGCATCGTCATCAGGAGCGCGTGAGAGAGGAGAATTCTTCTTCTTCTTCTCCTGATTCTCCTGATTCTTCTCCACTCCTCCATAGCCACTGTTCGTCTTCTTCTCCTCCTCCCTCTTTTCTTCCTCTTCAGAGAGAGAGAGAGAGAGATGTCAGGCAGTGACTATTTCGGACCATGGAGCCCAGGACCGGATTCGACATTTTTGAGGACAGACATTGGTTGCACATTTGACAGGGAGACTATTTCTTGGACGACCACGAGTTCTACTCTTGTCCTATTTCCCCTCTCCATCTTCGTCTCTCCTCCCCCTTCATCATCCGTGGTTTCTCCCCATGTGTGTGCGCAAGGATGTATCTTTCGTCTGTGTATGATTTCCCTCCTCGCTGTGTGACGTGTGTGATGATGATTGTGTGAGTCGAATCTGGATCTGATGTGTCAGGTCATATCTTGTAGTCTTCCGCTGCGCTACATTGTATTATCTCGTTTTGTTTCGAGTCCTGTTCATCACACTGGCGCTCCTTGGACATCTGCACCACTCATCTTCAGATGAGCATGCATAACGTAGTGTACAGGGTGGGTGCTGTGTTTGAAATTTGAATCCGGGCTATTTAGTATTTAACCAGTGAATGATCATTCATTCGATTGTTTGCCTCTTTTGTTTTTTCTCTTTTTACTAGAAAAATGTTTGCCTTCTTGACTTTTTACGCTCCCTGCTGTTCAGGAAAAGCGGCTGTTGGCGATAGTGGAGGGAGTTTTGGCGGGAAATATCTTCGACTGGGGTTCCAAGGCTTGTGTAGAGCTGTATACTAGCGGGACAATTATGGAGATCTACCGAATGAGCAGGAGTAAGCTACAGCGACCATGGAGGGTAACACTCCTTTGCTCCTTGACTAATTCCCCCGTAGGGTCTCTTAACCGTTCATTTGAATGAGGGGGGAGGAGGGTCATAGGTGTTCGGAGAGGGTCTCTTTACCGTTCATTGGAATGAGGGGGGAGGAGGGTCGTAGGCGTTCAGAGAGGGTACGCTGGAGTGTTGCTGTACTTTTCCAGAGTTGCGATCTTGTTTTCTTGATGTCATTCGTTTTACGTTTCCCATTGAAAGTCCTGGCTGCATATAACTAGGCTGTGCGGAGAGTTGCATGCAATGTCTTCTTGTTCTAAAGTCAGAATTAGTACTTAATTACGGGATTAAATGCTGTGTTACCTCAATTGTATTTCACTTACCAATTTCCAACTTCCAAGTCTCGAGCCTTAAACTTTAAAGCTTTTTAATCATACTTGCGGCGCATCGAGGTGCGCTGCACCGTGCACACGCGCCGCACTGCGCACAGCGCACGACGCGCGCACACGGGGTGCGGCGCACCCCGAAAATAAGGGGTCAAGGAAAAAAAAAAAAGTTGGGGAGGGTTCTTTTAGACCCGAGTGGGATGTCGCGTCATAAACCACAAAACAATATTAACAGAAATTTGAGGCCGATCGGCGCCAAAAAAAAGGGGGGAAGTTCGTTTTTCTGTTTGCGTGTGTGTGTGTGTGTGCGTGTGTGTGTGTGTGTGTGTGTGTGTTGT